AGCCGATCGTGCACAACCTGTACAGGAAGGGGCAGCAGAGGAGGCAGCAGAGCCACCGGCCGAGCGGCCACAGCGAGCAAAACCTAGGTGCAGCATGTGCGAATCAACAGAACACAATGCACGTACGTGCCCTAGGCGGCAGGCAGCTAGCTAGTATGTAGCTGCATCAAATATATTTGTTCGTGGTGGAGTAATTCGGAATATTTGGCCTCGGTAGCGTGGTTGGGTGGGCCACTAGCTTGTGCGGGCCACTAACTTGTGGATTACGTTAGCGTAGTTAATTGAAGTTCGAGAAGAGACCGGACGTGAGGCCCTATTGACTGCTCTTTAGCTATGAACAAAGTCTCATCTCCTCCACCAACTCACCTTGCAGCTTCCCGCGCCTTTCCCGTCTCCATCGGAACGCACACGCTTCATCTCGCGATCTACGGCCCAGCTCGTACCTCTTCCACCCCACTCACCATCGTCTTCCCTGGAGCCGGCGACGTCGCATACTCCTGGCTCCCCACCGCGCGAATTGTCTCCGCTACCACGCCCATCCTCCTCTACGACCGCTCCGGCCTCGGCCTCAGCGATGACCCCCCTCCGTCGAGTCCCGTCAACGCCGTTACGGCAGCTACCGAGCTGAAGACTGCGCTCGCGAATGCTGGGCTAGAGCCGCCGTATATACTTTGCGCGCACTCGTATGGCGCAATTGTTGCACGGGAGTTCCTGGAACTACACGAGAGTGACGTGGCAGGAATTGTGTTGGTCGACCCGTCGGGTGAGAGGCAGTCGGAGTACTTCAAGCTGCCGGACGAAAACATCGTCGCGGTCACAGGAGCGCTGAGGACGACTGTAGTCACCGGCCTGAGAGCTGATACAATCCTTACTCCACTAGAGTGGGCTGAGCGAGCGACATTAGTTCGACGAGGTGTAGACGCAACGATGAAGGAGGTCGGCGCGTTCGTGGAGGTTTGTGAGACATTGGGGAGGAAGAGACAGCTCGAGCGGAGATTGCTGGGGACTAAGCCGTTAAGTGTCATCAAGGCGAATAGCAAGAGAGACTTTGAGCGGATCTATGAGAAGGGAGTAGAGGTCGGGAATGGAACGCAGGAGCAACAGCGAGGGTTCCGCGAGCTCTTGGATTCATGGGATGAAGCCGATAAGGTGATCAAGGAAGGACAACTGCAGCTTTCGAGCAACGCCCGGCTGATTCATCTGAGCGATTGTGGACATTACGTTCATCTCGTCCGACCACAGGTGGTGGCGGATGAGATTCGGTGGGTGTCGGATAATCTCGCGGCAAGCGGTGATTTCAGTCGTCTTTGAAAGTGAACTTAAATTCTCCTCTCTTTGCAACATCATAGGGTTCATTTTACAGGTGTGTGTCTGATCTTTCACATGTCTTCATCTCTATTCCTTCATCGACTCGAACGATTGTGTGATGCTACGGCGTCCGGGTCGGTCTTCATTCTTCTTCTCCCCACTTCTCAGGTTCAAATTTCGTCCATCTCGTCAGCTTTAAGCCATCTAGTGTTAGTGAAAAAGGCGTGAGCTCAACCGATTATTGATGCTACGAACAATGTACACTATTCATACATTATTCACAGCCAACCAGCCAGCTTTCCTCAATGCGATTAGGTTATCTTAAGTATTCAGGATCTCCGCTCCATTCAGCCAGCATGAAGGCGTTTCACTCCACGCTCTCTAGTCGACGAGTCCAACCTAGAAGAAGATGTCCGCAGGCGCACATGGGAGTACTGCCACCCTACCCAAGCTTCCTATCAATCTAGATCCCATCAGCACCACAGCCAAACGACTCTCCTCAAGCGCGTGAGAACCGAAAGGCGGTGCTGACGTCTTCGGGCCTTGTTCTCTCGCTCGTCTGCCTGCACGTTTTTGTCTTCAAAGCGACTAGGAAAATACCACTGGTCATAATTTCATAATTTTCTGAATATTCTCAGTTCAAAGACCACCTGCGTCTGCGTCTGTTCTCGCAGTTCTACAACGCGTATCTATACTCCGGTCTCTCTTTCCCGCCGCTGAAATGCACAACCTCCCCACTTTCCAACTTCTTATTCTCTCGCCTATAGTACTCTCTTAATGACAGGCAAACCACAATGAATGCGGCCTGGCAAGACGCGACCGTAACCAGCGCCGGCTTGTAGGTGGGAGCGTCCTGCGCCCTAAACGCCACCGAGCTTATGATACCCGCGAGGTTCTGCCCCATGAAACTAATTCCCAGCCTGAGAGCGCGCCCAGTGGTCGTCGTCGTGTTGGAGGATAGCCAAACGGGGACCAGAATTCCGGGCGTGAACGTTCCAAAGGTGATGAGGTAGGTGAGGAAATACCCAACTTTAACGTTATGGACGAGGTCGAGGGTGGCGAGTAGAATCCAGGCCAAGAATGAGACGAAGAGGGTCCCGCAAGCGATCGTAGCGCGCTGTTGGAAGTGGTCACTCAAGAAGGTGGTTGAGAGTTGAACGGCAGCCGCCACGAGGTTGGGGCCGACGGTGTAGAGGTTTGATTTTGACGGAACTTTTGCGAGACGCTTCACCATTGTCTATGCGTTGTCAATGGTCAGCCTTCGATATGAGCACACGAGTTGAGGAATAGCTGACCGGAAGGAAGTTAGAGCTGCTAGCAACGCCGACACCGTAAAACAACGCCATAAGGAAGTAGACCCAGGTGATCTTGTCGCGGAGCTGGACTTTGGCGTCCTCCCGGTGGAAGTTCTTATCTTCATCCTGAGAGTCCTGTGCAAGCCGGGCGATGGAGACGCATTTCTCTTCTTCTGAAAACCAGCGTGATTTTTGGACACTGTGGGGGAGGATTAGGAAAAGGAGTAAGCCTATCCCCACTGTGAGCGCCCCCTCGATGATGAAGAGATATTGCCAGCCCTATGACAGAATTAGTCCGTTTGAAGCGAGCATAGCAGGTGTACCAGACTCACATTGAGAGCTCTATGCCACTGGAAGACGCTGAAAGCAATGAGGCCGCTAATGGCACCCTGTAGGTCATTCGTCAGCGTTACCAAACATATCCCACCGAGAAGAAAACTCACAGCAATGAATCCCATCATTCCGAATATCGAAACGCGGAACGATAGCTCTCGTCGCGTGTAAAAGAGAGAGCAATAGAAGATAGCACAAGGAAGAAACGCTGACTCCACGCAACCCATGAGGATTCTGCATGCGAGAATACCCCCGAAGTTTTTCGTTCCCGCCGATGCCATGGCCATTATGCCCCAAATAGACATGACGGATGGAATGACGACGGCGGGGTTGAACCGCTTCGAGAGAAGCGTGAACGGAACATTCATGAGACCATATGGAACGTAGAAGAGGATCAAGAGCAGGCTGAATTGGTTGCCCACGAGATGAAGATCTTTTTCTAAGGTATCTGTCTTTGCGTTTCCTAAGTTGGCGCGATCTAATGTATGGGTGAGATAGGCAAGTGCTAGATGGTGTCAACAGAGCTTCAGAGAGTTTCACATGCGAACACATACCAAGGCCTGGCATCAGAATGAGATCTTGCTTCCGGACGAGCGATCGCTCGGTGGTTGGGTCAATTGCAATTGGGCCATCCGAGTCCATGGTCACCGTACTGCCACTAGCATGCTTCTCTGTGTCGGACATCGCAGCGGTAGCTGTTCAACTTTCCTGGTAGCCGGTCCAATTCTGGAAAATGTGCCAGAGTTTAAAACGAATCCGGGGAGATACTTATGGACGGCAACAGTCTGCCGCAATCTTCCCCATTCATCGGAACATGCGATATCCACTCCCTAAAACGGTCATGAATGCTTTGGATACTAGCCCTGCACGAGGCTTTTCCCGATACTTTGGAGCATGTTCACTAGAGTCCTGAGGACTAACTGTATCGTGCCATCTCTGATTTGCCGTCGCGGATTCTAGACACACGCAGGGCTGTCATCGCTGAATCGTGTTTGAATAGAAACTCGGGGAGTAGTCCTTCAGGTCCGAATTTCTTTCACGCACGACATACTGGTGTGAAGCACGCAAGTAACATCTCCACATGCGATATTGACTATTTTGCTAAGTTGTCAGCAATACACGACTGAATCGCTTCGCGGTGGATCCTCTTCTACTCTCGAGTCACGGCTTCATGAGGCAGACCCGCTTCATTCTGGGCTTCGCTGAATCGTGGGTAGCAGAGCATTACAAAATACTTACTCTTGGTGCTGCACGGAATTGTGGATATCAAGCACGCAAGCCCGCAAGCATGCTCCCGACCTCAAGCACCGAACTCAACCCCGCTCCGTATGACCCGAGCTTTTTACATTCGACGTAACAAGGCAACAGGCAACTGGACAAGCTTCACATTAGCGGCTCGCTAATATATCCAGCCGAATCGAAAAACATGAAGATGAACATATAAAGCAAGACTATGTCTGAGACAGCCGCTTTTCCCACGGCGCTTTTCAAGTCCTCGTTAGCTTGCTCAAGAACTCGGCCCAGCACCCGTTGGACTGGTATTCCCGGACGCTTATCCGCACCCTTGAAGCGTTGAATAGCGGGGCCCCCACTCTTAGAGTCTCCGACCCTACTATACACTACCGACTATAGCTCTACCTTAATTCCATCATGTGTCTGAAAGTCAAATTCGACATCTAATTCCCTACCTCTCTTTAAACACTACTGATGGCCATTTCTGATCATGTCTGACGGCGGGCCGGCTGTAGCTAACCACGGCGAAGATGGTGAACTCAGGCAATCACCATCGACCACGGATACAGCTTCAGACTCGAGTACAGCTGTAGGGTCTTCTTTGATCTTGCACTCGCAGGCACAGCCATCGGGTTTCCTTGCCCGGTTTCGATACTCCCTTTATGCTGCTGGCATCGCGCTTCTTTTCACTCCTCTCACCTATCTATGGAGTGGACAGGCACCCATCGACCCTACAAACTACGTCGAACGCACGCGACGAGTCTTGAAAACTACTCCCCTGATCGATGGTCACAATGATCTCCCATGGCAGCTTCGTATTGAGCTGCAGAATCGTATCTACGATGGTCGCGTAGACCTCACCAAACGCCTGCTTGGCCACACCGACCTTGTGCGAATGCGTGAAGGCATGGTTGGTGGGCAGTTCTGGAGCGTCTATGTCGACTGCGATGTGAACCAGAAGCATTTCGAAGATCCGTCAGTAAGTTCATCCGACCCCCCAAACTTGCCGAACAATAATTTATACTTACGCCCAACCAGTGGGTCGTCCGCGATACCCTCGAGCAAATTGATGTGACCAAGCGCTTCATCTCGGAGCACCCCAATCATCTGCAATACTGCGACACTTCCGCCTGCGCCCGTGCTGCCTTCCAAGCCGGCCGCATCTCCAGCATGATTGGCATCGAAGGCGGGCACCAAGTTGGGAGCAGCATCGCTAGCATCCGTCAAATATACCAACTCGGTGCCCGTTACATCACCCTGACCCACAACTGCGACAACGCCTTCGGGACTTCAGCGAGTACCGTCGCCGGCGGAGGCGTAGACGGGGGTCTTTTCAAATTCGGCTACGAGGCTGTCAAAGACATGAACCGCTTGGGAATGATGATCGATCTGTCGCACGTGTCGCATCAGACGATGCGGGACGTGGTCTCCGTCGCACGAGCGCCAGTGATCTTCTCTCATTCTGGCGCGTACGGCGTGGAGAAGCATCTCCGGCACGTCCCAGACGACGTGCTGCGGTCTGTGAAGAAGAACGGTGGCATCGTCATGGCGGTATTTGTTAACCGCTTCCTCAACATGAAGCACCCAGAAGAGGCCACGATTCACGATGCAGTCGATCACATCCTGTACATTGCGGACGTGTGTGGCTGGGAGTGCGTCGGCATTGGCAGTGACTTCAGCGGGACACCGAATGTGCCAATTGGGCTGGAAGATGTATCCAAGTTCCCGGATCTGGTGCAGCTGTTGATGGAACGCGGTGCCACAGACGAACAGGTCAAGCTGCTTGTTGGCGAGAATATCTTGCGGGTCTGGGGGAACATCGAGCAGCGGGCAAAGGAGATTCAGGCCAGTGGTGAACTTCCGGTGGAGGCGGAGTGGGAACGAAGGGAGTGGCACAAGGGCCTTAGGGGCTCACCATGGATGCTCAGAGGAAGCAGAGTGGGGAACAATCAACTTAAGTTGATAGATTGATTGATTTGATTTGGTTCAACCAAATCAATCAATCAATCCGAAGAGGTGGATTTTATCAATCAAATCAACTTCAAGGCATCAAATTGATTGATTTGATTGGTTTGATTGATTCCTATTTGCGGAGCGTAGATAGAGTATCCTATAGAGAGCCCACCTAGCAGAAGTGCTTACTAAGCAGTCTCCTAACCCTGATTTTCATCCTAACTCACATCAACGCGTCCAACACCATACCACCTCTGTACAATATCACACCCAGCAATGAATCAGAACCTTCAGAACGTACAGCAGGAAGTTATCGCACGCGCAAATCGAAAGAAACCTCCCCGTAAGGTTAATTCTATGCGCGCCGAAGTCAACACGAATGAACACGTCGAAACACCTGCCACGAACGACGACGA